GTGTCTGCCCCGCAGACCCTCTGGTTAAGCCACGAGGGGAAATTCTCTCACACGGCCCCGGGGTGCTTCGTAATCGACACCACCTGTGCCGTGGCTGAGGCACGAGCGAGCCGAGATCCAGCGCGAGACCCGTCTGACTGCCGACGCCCCAGTCTTTGGTGCCTCAGGTGGGATTCAAAAAGCTTCTATCTCAGGGAAAAGCAGGTAACAAGTCGGGTCTCCCCCACCGTCAGGTTCACTGAGTCAGTAGTCACTGGTCAAGTGTGCTTGCAGGTAAGTCGGCCATAAAGCAGCATCACACAGCAGAAGTAGCCGCACGTAGGAGTGAGGTGGGCAGCGCCCCCCTAGGCTGCAGGACGCCCTCGCCCTGCAGCAGCCTTGGGCCAGGGCTGTCCGCCTCTGAGGGCGCCGGCTCCTCGGACCTGCTCACTGTCTGGCAGGAGTGGCTCAGGGCGAGCTCAGCCAGGAACCACACCCCAGTGTCGCCCACCACGTGCCCCCCCCGCAGCCCCTGCTCCCCCGTGGCCCCGGCGTCTCCTCATCTCCGGCCCGAGCCTCCAGAGGCCAAGGAGAGGGAAACTGCCCTGCCGCTAAGCAACCACTCAGACAGGGCAGTCTCCGGTTTGGGGCGGCGGGGAAGCGAGAGTCCTCTCTTGAGAAGGTGAATGCGAGCATCTTACACCACTCCGGGCCGGCGGTGCGCGCCAAAGCCCGAAGCCCTCGGGGATCGGCAAGGCGCTCGCCCCAGCTCGCTCACGTGGCTCCTGGACCGAGAACCTCTCTGCAAGCCTGGCCCAGAGGCCGTTCCTGGCCCTCCAGGAAGGTGCCGAGCTGCCGCTGTCGGGCAGGTTTGGGGGGATGGGGGCGCGCACCGCTCCCTGCATCCAGGCGCCCTCCACGCATCTCCTCCAGCCCCGTTTAACCCCACGGTGCAAGAAACGGGCCTCGGCCCCGCAGGCGGCCCTCGGGCCAGCAGCCCTCGGGGCTACTCACCCAGCGTCCACGCGAAGTAGTATTTGGGCCTGGCCGCCAGGAGAGAGACGTACAGGTAGAGCACCCTGGCCGGCCACGAGGCAGTGGCTCGGAAGTGGGCGTCGATGTTGCGCTCCACGGGCAGCGCCCTGGCCACGGTCAGGTGCAGCAGCAGCGAGAGGGCGCAGACCAGCAGCTTCTGCAGCACGGCGGCCTGGGGCGAGACCGGCCACACGCTCACGCGCCTCCTGGCCCGGCGGCCCTCTCCGAGCCCACCCCGGAAGGGCTCCCTGACGCCTGGCTGGTTTCAGCCGCCAGGACGTGAGCACGGGAACGACACTCGTGGGGGCACACCAGGCGTACCCTCAGGCGGCGGGGCG